AGCATTCCTTTCAGAGGAAGGTAATTACCAGCCCCAGAACTCATCACCTGTCAGAAACATCACTGGCTACGCTGCAAAAAGTGAAGAGAACTCTTAAAGGATAACTTCAGGTCACCAGTACAGTTTCTGATACAAGTGCATCTGCAGATGTTGAAAGGGCAGATTTTAACAGCAGGCTCTGTGCTGGACTTTGTAACATCTGTCTTCCTTCAGCTACTCCAGCATTTCCTCCTGGGCCCTGGCTAAGTTAACACAAATGCCATCCTGCTCTCCCTCCCCAGCCACAGCACAGGGCAGGTAACTGAGCACTAACTCAGTTCTACTGAATACACATGGTAAACATCCATCTTCCCTTCCCAAACGCAAATTTGAGGACCTAACTGTGTGGGTACTGACATCATCAAAAAATATTATAAAAAAGCAGACAAACAATCATTATTTTCTATTACTTGCTCACTTTGATACGTGACTTTGAGTTAAAAGTTACTTAACTTGTATTCAACCAGAATATTATACTAATAGTGTGTAACTGCATACAGGTGATCAGCCTCCAAAATAGAAAAGTTTTTAGTATCAAGAAAAATAATGGGATAAAAAAGGAATAATTGCAAAAACACTGAGGTTTGTGGGTAGAATTGCTAAATTTAGCCAAACGATGATACACAGATACCTTGGCATCAGACTGAAGGGCAGCTTTAGGGTCAATGCATTCCTACAAGTACATTCACTAAACATACATGCATAAAACAGTTATCAAAAGTGAGGCATTTTAATAATTAGGTAGCTCTACAAGATGAAAACAGCCTAAAAAACTTTAATAAAAAAATTACCTAGGTATGGTGCTCCTGAACTTCAATCATCAGCTAAACAGCTTATTTCTGTAAGAGGTTAATAACACACAGAGTCATAACTAAATCAAACATAGTCATAACTAAATCTGAGGTCAAATCCAGTCCCTTAAGTAAACTGAAATACAGAAGACCAATCTGAACCGAATGGCTAAACTGATCCACTCACAAAAACATCACCAGCCTTAATCTCCACCAAATGAAAAAGATCCAGTAAGAACCAGTATGCTTTTCCTACCAACCTAAAGGTGCTGGATATGGTTGGCACTTCCTGAATGCAAGTTATTTTGAAAAAGTAGCTTTGAGCTACTAAGGAATTAAACAGACATAAAGCCTGCAAACTTCCTAATGAATCCAGATGACATTAGTGGGTTCCAGTCCAATAACGGCAGGGATAACTCAAGGATACAGTAGTGTCACACATCTCCTGTATGTCAGGCTAAGCCAGAAGGAAAGACTTAGGGAAAAAAAGAAAAAGCAAAAACCACCCCCCCCCCAACACACAGTTTCACTGGTTTTGTATTCTCACTAGATATCTTCGTTGCCACTACTGCCACCACCTTTTTTATTTCTATCTAGTCAAAATAAATATCCATTATATTCAGAGTTCAACTTTAAGGTATTTGGAGGGGCAGGGATTCAGAAGTGTGAACTGTTTTCCTAACCTTAGTTAAATGCAAACCAGAAGCATAAGGTGTGAAAGCTTACAGCCATATGCATTGTTGCTAACGTAATACAAGTTAGCCCAGTTATCTATATAAAAATAAACATGAGATACCACATCCTATTTATCCACTGTGAAGCAGAATAAATACCAGACTCAGAGAGAATAACCACTCCAATCTAAACAAACCCTTAAGTTCTAGCATTTAAAAAAAGAGGATTTCCTAGATGAAAAAAAAAAAACAACCTTCAATAAACATTGACAAAGATGAGTAACAGGCACCAACAGGAATGTGTTCTGTGGAGTTTGCTGTGCTGTCACTGCAAGTAAAAACTCACAGTTCTCTTCCACAATAGCTTCTTTGTTACACAACAGAAATAAAACCAGGTTTAGTGGCATTACTCTTCAAGGTTCTCCTGCAAGTTTATTATTTCTGCTAAGTCGCAATTTTTTTTCCCACAGTAACATTCTTCTCTAGGAATATATTTAGCAACCCATACAGGTTATGATTTTCAGCAAGACAAATGTGGCTTCTGAAAGCCAGGCCACGCCAGCGCCGGACATTCCCTGCTCAGTGCCCACGGCTGCTCTCGCACAGGTGCTCCTGTTGCACCTGAACCAGAGCGCGGCGCGGGGCCAGCGCCGTTAAAGACACAGCGCCGGTGTTTATGAAACACAGCACCTTGCATCAGCCGGGGCGGCAGCGGCTCAGCACGAGAGGGAAGGAAGTTGGCGAACGCCAGCGCCCAGGGCCGGGGCCAGCACGGCGGTGACCCCCGCGCAGTGACCCC